CTAAAATCTTAATTGGGGTGGTCAACAAACGATTGTCAACAATCCCAATACGATATTTTAGTGATCTTATTCATGTTGCACTGAAAGACCTTAGAAACTGAGAGAAAATTAGTAGTTCTATATTTCCGAATTTGATTAGAGGCCAAATATCTTATTAAGAGGACATATATATCAATTTTAATGTATTATTCTATTTTATTTTATCTAGATTGATTTTTTTAATCTTTTTGTGTTTTAGGGTGAAAAAACAAATCTTGCAAATCTAGTCCACGTGATTTGTGGGATTTTCAGTTTATTACTTGTTTTAATTATCATTTGGGCAGTGAACAGAAGCGGTTGGCGGTGCATTTTGGAGAGAAGAGATGGACTCGGGTTACTTAGAAATAGGTTTAAATAGTAGGAAAATTGTGTATAGACATATGGCTTAATCAATTGCGTCCAATTATCAAGGTTTTTATCTTTTCTTCTTAATTTATAGCGATATATTCGAAGTAACTTAATCTAGTGTTGTTATTTTTCACATGATTTGGAACTTTTGATGTTACTTGCTTTGTGAAGGCAGGAAATCAAGGCAAAATCTAACAAATTTGATGATCATCATAATTTGGTGTCTGAATAAAAGATTTTTTGAACACCCCACCCCCTCCCCCCCGAAAATCTGAGGATATCTCAATTACAGCCATTAAGTTATGTTATGTTTGACGTTTTCAGGAAAAATTCAAAATTCGACCACACTTAATGTCTCATATGCTAAAACAACTCCGACAAAATTACTTAATCTAACAAATATTTTTGAAGATTCTAGTATTATAGCATGTTGTTATGTCCTATGAATTGTTATTCCAAAATGAAAGTTGAGATTCTGTTGGTGACCACCAAGTTGAAAAGTCTAGGGTTCCGTCTTTTATTTTAATTATAAGCTTTTTATCTTTGTGCTTTATTGCCACATTTGTTTTCCTTTAAAGTACTTGTTTCAGATGCAAAAGCAAAACTATTTGTTTTCCTTATTTTCCCGAAAGTATTCATTTCATAAATTTACACGTTTTCACAATCTGACATTTTCCTCACACGCCCGTGCAGCATTCATAATGGCACGCTCCTTGCCCCAGCTCTTAGCGAGTTCTATAATGGCACGCTCCTTGCCCTCTTGCGGGTCAACAAGTACCATGAACTCCAACTTTTAATTCTCACTGATTTCAGTACCACAAACTCCATGACTCCATTCAGTTATCATCATCCTAAATATGTGAGTAATCTTCCACCACATTTCGCGGTTTTACCGTGGTTTACAATCGGTGTTAACCATGGTAAGGCAGGTGTGGTGGTGTCTTGTTAAGTTTACTTCATCAATACCCAGGTTTTGCAAATTGGATTTACCTGACTAGCAAAAATCTCAAGTACGGCGGTCAACGATTTGTTGTCAAGAATCATAATGGGGATAACTTAATTGATCGTATTCTCGTTGCACCAAAAAAGCTTAGAAAGAGAGCAAACGTTGGTAGTTCGTCACCTGCGAATTTGATCAAAGGCCAATGGTCTGATGAAGAGAACATGTATATCATTTCTTTTTTGTTATTCTATTTGATTTTATCTAAATTTGGATTTTTTTTTAATCTTTTTTGGCTTTAGGGGGAAAGAAAATCTTGGAAATCTAGTCCAATTGATTTGTGAGATTTTGATTTTACTTACAAGTTTTAATTATCATTTGGTCAGTGAACTGTAGCTGTTAGTGGACCTTTTTGGAGAGAGATATGGACTCAGATTGTTGACAAATAGGATGGAAGAGTAGGAAAACTGTATAGAGATAGATGCCTTAATCATTTGTATCCAAATATCAAGGTTTCTCTCTATTCGTCTTCATTAATTGCGGTATATTCTTAAAAGTAGCTTCATCTGATGTTGTGGTCCTTCAATGTTTTGGAAATTTTGATGCTACTTGCTACATGAAGGCAAGAAATCAAGACAAAATCTAATAGATTAGATGTTCATCATAATTTGGCGCCTAAATAAAATATTTTTTAACCCTCCCCCCCCCCCCCCGGTCCTCCCGAAATGTTAATATACCTGAATTGCAACCATTAAATTTATGTTATGTTTGATGTTTATAGAAAAATGCAGAATTCGACCATGTTTTATGTATAAGATGTTACAAAATTCTGACAAAATTCTTTGGACTAATAAATATATTTGAAGAATGTAATAATATAGCATATTGCTTTGTCTTAAGAATTGTTATTCAAGAATGAAAAGTTGAATTGTGTTTTTGACCACCAACTTGAAAGGTCTAGGATTCTATCTTGTTATTTGAATTAAATATTTCTAATCTTTGTGATTTATTGCCAGCTTTGTTTTTCCTTAACGTACTTATTTTTTATACAAATAGAAAAGAAAATAATTTCCCTTTTTCCCGATAGTATTCAATTCATAAATACTTACAAGTGTTTTTCTTAAACTTCTAAAATACCATGTTTCACAATCTGCGTTTCCCCCATACGCCCGTGCAACATGCATGCACTTCTCGTGTCTGGCCCCACAACCAGTCTTCTCATTAGGAATTTTACAGGTTTCGCTTGACCCTGAGCTTATCAGGAAAGAGGCATTCACCCCGGTGACTTGTATCCTTAATCGCAATCTAACCCCCCCTCTTAGCTGAGTTCGATAACTCATGGCATGCTCCCAGCACTATTTCGGGTCTACAAGTACCATGAACTCCAAGTTTAGGTCTCACTGATTTCAGTACCGTGAACTCCATGATCCCAAACAATTATCATCATCCTAAATATATGAGTAATCTTCCACCACATTTTGATGGTTTATCGTGTTCTTCAGTCGGCGTAAACCATGGTAAAGCAGGTGGGGTGGTGTCGTGTTAAGTTCACTTCATCACAACACAGGCTTTGTAAATGGAATTTACTTGACTAGCCAAAATCTCAATTGAAGTGGTCAACGAATGATCGTCATTAAATTGAGAAAAACATTAGAAATTGAGAAAAATTTTGTAGTTCATCAATTCTATTTTATTATTTTATTCGGTTTTTATCTTAATTTTTTCTTTTATCATTTTCTGTGTTTGGCTGAAAAAACAAATCTTTCAAATCTAGCCCATTTGATTTGCGGGATTTGATTTTATTTACTTGTTTTAATTATCATTTGGACCGTGAACTAAAGCGGTTGGTGGTGTATTTGAAGAGAAGAGATGGACTCAGATTGCTGCAAACTAGGTCTGAAGAGTTGGTCAAACTATGGGAGACATACATATACAGAACTACTATTGTTTAATTATGTGTTGGTGATGAAGTCACTATTTTTTAATTATGTTTTGAGTTGAATTTTTAACATTTGTTTGTTTGTCTTTTAATTTGCTTGTGTCCTAACTAAAAATACTTGTAACAAAATACAGAATTATGTTTATTAAAACCATCATCCCCTTCTGCCCAAATTGTAACAAATACACAAAATTTCAAAAAAAAAAAAAAGAATAAAAACTTATTAAAGAAGATTTGCACACGAGACCTCTTACTTAATGAGTGCCATAACAAACTTAAATATATCTTCGAGCACCCTGCTACTAAGATTTCATGTTTTTCTATTTAAACCTAAATATACCATTGGTTGTCCTTTAATTTGTATTGATTGTTTGAAGCACGTGCATTACAAGAGGGAATGTGTTGAGTAACTTTCTTCAACATAGACTTCCATCGAATGTATGCACCCTATTATAAACATAAAGTCGCAAATAGTTACTCCTTATCTTCTCAATCATTGTTCTTGGTTAATCTTATTAAGAGAGGGAATGTTAATATAAATAAAAGGAGCTATATTTATTTTTCGAGAAAATGTAAAAGCCACTAACAACCGAAGAACACATTGACAATGTTTTTTGTTTGAAATAAAAGAATACAGTCATAATTCGAGTTTTCAAATTACAATTTTATAGTTAGATCTGTCACAATCATAAATTAATGATTTTGAGTTTTATGCCCATATAACTCCATATTATTATCATATCATGATCTTGATATCTTTATTGTTGAACTATGGGGTAAAAAATCTCATCATCCCATCACAAACCAAGAGTGAATTTTTTTTTCTTCCAAGACAATCTCTCCATTTCATATTTATGTGATTCTTTTATGAATAAGGAAATCTAGTAGCTACACTTGCCACCCAACTTCTACTATATAATCATTTTAAAATCAACGGTAGCTAATAATTGCATGCAAGCCAACCTAAAATTTTTTTAAAAAGATATCAGTCTAACTAGAGAAATTCATTTTTCATCATTCTCCATTCTCTTCACATCATTCATTCATCATTTAGTATGACTAATAATGGTAAGCAAGACACCCTAAAAGTATATATATGTGTCCAACTGGAGGAATTTGTTATTAATTGTTCATCATTCAGTAATGTACTATATAAACAATCCGAGAAACTTCTCTATAAAAAGAACTAAATTGTTTCAATAAAACCAATCCCTTTCATTACCATTTTGTTTCCTTTATTCAACACTTTTTATTCATAGAAGGAGTATAAAAAGTGGTATTTGCATTTGAAAATTTTTGTTACCTAATGCAGCAGCCACTACCTTAGGCACAGCCACCGTGTCACAGGTTAAGTCTAGCGTTTGCCACATACGCCCGTGCGGCATTCATGAGGCTTTCATCTCTCAACTTACAGCCAGCCTTTCCATCAGTCAACTTATAGGTTTCCCTTTGCTTTGAGCTTATCAAGGAAGAGGCATTCCGCCTGATTATAGTACGCTCCTTGCACTCTTGCAGGTTTACAAGTACCAGGAACTGCATGACACAAATAGTTATATCATCTTAAAAATGTGAGTAATTTTTCACCATATTTTGCGGGTTTACCATGGTCTTCAATCGGCACTAACTATGGTTAGGCATGTGGGGTGGTGTCGTGTTAAGTTTACTTCATCATGACGTAGGCTTTGGAAATGGGGTTTACTTGAATGCCCAAAATCACACCTAGGTGGTCAACGAATGATTGTCAATAATCCCAATGGAAATAATTTAATAAATCTTATTCCTGCTGCACCAAAAAATCTTAGAAAGAGAGAAAAAGTTGGTGGTTCTTCTTATGCGAATTTGATCAAAGGCCTTTGTCTGATGATGAGGACAGGTATATCAATTTTATTTTGTTATTCTATTTGATTTTATGTAAATTGATTATTTATCTTTCTTTTTTTTGGCTTTTGCAGGAAAAAAGATCTGGCAAGTCTAGTCCATTTGATTTGTGAGATTTTGATTTTATTTATTTTTTTACTCTTCATTTAGGCAGTGAACTGAAGCGGTTGGTGGTGCATATTGTAGGGAACAGATGGGCTCAGATTGTGGAGGAAATGGTTTGTGTAGAAATAGAAGGTTTAATTATTTGCGTCCAAATATCAAGGTTTCTTTGGTTTCTTCTTAATAAATTACCATCTATATACTTATGAAAGTAACTTGATCTGATGTTGTTTTTCACATGATTTGGAATGTTGGATGTTACTTGCTCGGCAGTAAATCAAGGCAAAATCTAATAGTTTAGATCTTCATTATAATTTGGTTTAGTGTCTAAATAAAATATTTTGAAAAAAACCCAAAATTATTTCATGATATCTGAATTACAACCATTTAAATTTTGTTATGTTTGATTTTTTCACGAAAATACAAAATTCTACCACATTTGATGTCTAAGATGCTACTAATTTCTGACAAATACTTTGGTCAAACACATACATTTCAGTAATCTTATTTTATCACAATTTTTTTGTCCTTGGAATTTCCAGACTGAAAGTTGAGATTGGGATTGTCCTTGGAATTTGACTGAAATGTTTTTTATATTTGTAATTTATTCTCACCTTTATTTTCTCATAAAGTACTTATTTTGGACACCAAAAAAAAGTATTTATTTTTCTATTTCTTTTCGAAAATATATATTCTGGTGTTGAAATTGATTTAACAAAAGATTTGCCAAAGTCAGTTAGGGTTGGAAAGAAGGGTCGTAAACAGGATCAATTATTTACCTTTGAACACATTCCATCTTACTGTGTAAAATGTAGTAAGATCGGTCACAAGGATTCGGAATGTCGGGTTGGAAAGCCTCTTCAGCGGAGTAACAAAGTTGAGCCTGCGGTAGTGGAGAAGAAGGGAATCAAACTAGCTCCGTCGAAACCAAAGTGGTCCTTCAAAGGAGGGAATAGCAAGCCTGGGTTAGATGTCGAGCTATTGAGCTTAGACCCTTTGATTGGTTAAGGGATTGAAAAGGAAACGATGAAGCTGTCTGCCCCTTCGTCGCGTCCTGATAAAACCCTAGAGGCGCGCATCATTCTGGACACCCTGGAACAGCGACAAGCTGAATCATCTTCTGGTTTGACGATGACGAAGAAAGAGTTAATTTCGGTTGATCTTCAGCCATCTCCTGAAAGGAACGAATTGGGGACGGCCAACCCAAATCCTCTTAAACCAGGAAATGTATTCTCAGTGCTGCAAAATTCGGATGAAAGAGATAATGAATTTCCTTTAACAAAGGCCAAATGTCATAAGATAGCTTCGGTTTCCTTTGATACGCTTCCTGCTACGGTGATCACAAATCGTTTTGCTGTGCTACAAACGATAGATGAGGTGGTGAATGAAGTTACTAGTGTGGAAGGAGAAGAGCATGTTGAAGATGCGTATGTTGAAAACGCTCCTACACAACATGAATCTCAGAGTGATACTGTGATATTTGATGTTTTGAATGAAGTACTGATGCTTGATGACGAAGCATGGATTTGCATGGTGCTTAGGACAGGCGGTGATGATGACCTAGGCGGCGGTGAATGGCCTAAAACTTGCAAGATAGAGCCTCGGGTGTCTCCCGAGGGTAGACTGTCCGATGCTTAAGTCAATAAGGGAATAGAGATAATAGAGAGAGAGAGGGATGTGTATCGTGTGAAGGTATTGAAGATAGGTAAAAGATGTCAATTATGGGAGAGGCACCACTTCTTTATATAGAGGTGGTGTTACCTGTTTCTTGAAACCCTAACGGAATAGGTTTAGGCGGTGGCTTAATCTCCAAGTAATCTAATCCTAGGCCCAATAGGCCTAGGGTTAATTTATGACTCGTCAAGTGCCCCTAGCAAGCCATATTCTCGAGACTTGATGAGAAGGATATTGGTTGCTACAAGTGTTGATGTCTTCTCGAGTTTCATGGTGTTGCCCTAGTTCTCGAACTCTTTCATTCTCGGGTATCACCTATATAAGATGAAGATAATAAAATGCCTAGAGGAGGTCTTTGTGTTAGCGAGTTCCTTATTAGAAGGGGGAAGCCTGTGTATGCCGAATTAGGAGGATGGCACCTAGATTCTCTTATTTGAAGGTGAGATGCCTATAGTTGCTTGTCGTGCAGGTCTTGTGGCTGTGCCCGACTAGCACGTCTTTCGTTGATATGCAATTTCGCTCGAAAGAGGCAATATAATAATATGTTTATTGTAGATAAGTCAAAGCTTAATAGTAGCAATATTCTAAATCAAAGCATCGATGTGCTAAATTATTTAAACAAAATATAAAAGCAAGGTGCATACTTGTTGGAGAGACCCTCGAGGAGTCTTTATGGTATCCTGAATGAAACTTGAGGCTCACCTGGAATTTCCCCTGAGGGGTTGTCCGGATTAGCCACATACTATCGGAATTTTCCCTTCTCAAGCCCTTCCTCGATTTGCTCATTTTATGCATGGCAATTCTCGATGACATGCCTATGATCTTTATGGAAAGAACACCATAAGTGTCTCAGGCGCTTACTTGGATCTGTTGACATGGGACGTCGTACTTTCAACTCATGCTTATGGACCTCTAGGATTTCAGCTCGAGGACGAGTTAAAGGCGTATAAGCATCTGCCTTTCGCTTTGCTCTGTCATGGCCTCTTTCTCGATCGCGATTGTGTTCTAGTTCTTGGTCACGATCTGCCCCTAAGCCTTTAGCCTTGTACTCGAGCGACCTCTTCTCATAAGGGTGCAGGCTATCTCATGCTCGACGTAAATCTTCTTCCCGAACTTCTGTTTCAACCACTGGGAAGAGTTGTTGCAGCGTATGTGGCAGCTCTTTTGTTAGCTTTTGTTACAAAGTAGCAGGTGCCCCATATGGATAAAGACCATTGGTGAAGGTTGCAACAATTTTCTCTACAGATACTCCTTCGACTTGAAGTTGTTCTTTGGTGAAGCAGCTATAATACGCTCCAATAGATTTTTCTCGATCTTACTTGAGGGAGATTAGCTCAATAATCGTCTTGCAAATCTTCTTTCCTTCGAAGAACCTTGTGTGGAACAAGGTTCCAAACTCATGAAACGACCGAATACTCCTCGGAGGCAGTGTTCCAAACCGAAGTTGTGCTTGCCCCGTGACATAAGTAGGAAACGCCTTGCACATAAAATCATTAGGAGCATTCCTCAATCTCAATGCATTCTTATAAATTTGCAGGAATACCATAGGATCGGAATCTCCTCCGTAAGCCTTCAAATCCGGAAGTTCAAACTTCTCAGGCATGGGTGTTTCTCGGATGCATTGGATGAATGGACTGTCATCTTCCTCCATGTCTCCTTCAGATCCGAGAACCTTGCGCAATTGCTCCTCGATGGTGGAGGGTCCCGGAGACGGAGGTACATTCACTCGAGGGGAATAAGTTTCTTCTCGAGTTATAAGGTGATGTCCTCGAGAGATGCCCCCAGGGTTGTCTTCTTTCGAGAAGGTACCCAGATTGTTGACCAAGTGCTGTCGCTGGTTGCTGTCGAGTTCGTGAAAACTCTTCACAAAATCTTGGAACTTGTTGAACAAGGTGGGTTGAAATTTGAAAAAGGCCTCCATAAGGTTTTGATAAAACAAACCACCAAACGGCCTGCTAGAGGATGGCCCTGATGGAGTTGCCTGCTTGTCTTTTTCAACGGCAGTAGCAGGGGTTCGTTGTTTTTCTTGCGGCATTATGATGTTGATGTTGCGCAACGAAAAGCACCAAAAAATTCCAACTTCGCTTCTAGAAATGTATTTGGTTGTAAGGACCAAACAAATCTGTCCCACTGGGCGTGCCACTTGCTGAAGCATGGATTTGCACGGTGCTTAGGACGGGCGACGATGATGACCTAGGCAGCGGTGAACGGCCTAAAACCTGCAAGACAGAGCCTCGGGTGTCTCCCGAGGATAGACTCTTTGATGCTTAAGTCAATAAGGGAATACAGATAATAGAGAGAGAGAGAGAGAGAGAGAGAGAGGGATGTGTATCGTGTGTAGAAGGCATAGAAGATAGGTAGAAGATGTCAATTATGGGAGAGGCACCACCTCTTTATATAGAAGTGGTGTTACCTGTTTCCTGAAACCCTAACGGAATAGGTTTAGGCGGTGGCTTAATCTCCAAGTAATCTAATCCTAGGCCCAATAGGCCTAGGGTTAATTTATTACTCGTCACTTGAAAACTTGTGTCCTTTGGATTCTAGAAAATGTTTGGATGATGGTGAAATAGGCAAAGTATCCGAACCAGTGGAAATTGAAGAGGTTGATAGGGGCGTATGGTTTAATGGTGATGCCAACAATGTTCATGCTACAGGATCTGTGCAAGGGGAGGAATCTGTACACAAAAAACGTGGTCGGAAACCTAAGGCTGAGATGGCTCTAATGCAAGAACAGCAAGGGGAGTTGGCCCCAAGGTGGTCTTCCCGGCTGCAATAGACGATTTGCGTTCTCTATATTTTATCAAGGTTAAGTCAAATAATTTGGAACATTAGAGGAATAAAGAATCAAGCGTCGCAGCAGCGTTTGAGGACTCTTATTCATTCATATAGAGTTTCTTTCTTAATAATCTTGGAGCCTATGCTGGGTCCAGATCAGCTTGAACGCATTCAAAGAGAGCTGAATTTCAATACGGCCTTTGCTTCCAGAACTAGTAAGATTTGGGTGTTTAGTCAGTGCAAATTTACAATGATTATGTTAGAGGATGATGTCTAAGTGTTGCATTTTGAAGTATCTTATTCCAATGTTGCTGGAAAATTCTATCTCTCGGCAGTTTATGCCAAAACCACCAGAATTGCGCAACAGCCTTTATGTAATAATCTGATTGCATTTCGTCAAAAATATCCGAATTCTCCATGGATGGTTGCTGGAGATTTTAATGTAATTCGGTCATTGGAAGAGTATTCAGGTGTCTCTGTACAAGATCATGTGGCTATATATGAATTTAATGACTATATTTTTTAATGCAATCTTCTTGAGCTTCCGACGATGGGTGAAGAGTTTACTGGGGGTAGAACTAGAAGTACCGGATGGGTGAGCAAAAAACTTGATAGGATTTTGATCTCAAATGAATGGAATGAATTCTTTCCTCGCTCATCAATGGAGAATTTGAATAGGACAACTTTGGATCATAGTCCTTTGTTACATTTATTTGCTCCGCAAGGTGAAAGCAAGCCGAAGATTTTTAGGTTTTAGAAAATGTGGTTACGTAGGGATGACTTTAAGGGGATTGTTAAAGACTGCTGGGATCAACCTATTCAGCATTCCGGGATGCTTTGTTTCTCCTGGAAACTCAGGCATTTAAAGTTGAAATTAAAAGAAAGGAATAAGGAGGTGTTTGGGAATGTATTCGAAAATCTGCAACTTGCGGGAGCAAATGTGCACTGCCTAGAGATTATGAGAGGGAATTCTTCAAAGCAACGCTTGGAATATGCTTAAACCGAGTTGATCATGCTAGGGTTTGGAAAGTAGCTTGGATACTGCCGGAGGCAAATTCCTTCATTCTGAATACGGATGGATCGTCACGATTGAATGATACCGGTTGTTGATTTGTAATCTGCAAGGAGGGTGGAATTGTTTTGTATGGGGAAAGTGGATATTTGGGAGATGGTGACAGTTTCCAGGCAGAGATATTGGAGCTTTATTCGGGCTGCTTGGACTTAGCAATGTCACGCTTCAGACAAATAACAAGACCTTAGCTGATATATTGAAGTCGGAAAAGGGCTACTTGTGGAGTTACTACTCTATCTTGCATGAGATGATTTTCATTATTCAGAAGAATAATTGTAAGGTTTTGCATATATACAGAGAGGCTAATTTGGTTGCAGATAGATTAGCAAAATATGTATCTAATGGTTCCTCAGAACCCTACTCTAGTCTAGAGTCCTTGCTACGAGTTGTAAAAGAATTATTGATACTTGATCAAATGTCCTTCCCATATATTAGAACCCGCTGTGTTTGATGTATAACAGGTAAGTCTTATGCACTGCCGGCTTTATTTCTCAAATTAATAAAATTTAGGAGGGAAGATTCTAGGGAACTAGATGATACATATGTCCATCCCTTGGGTAGACCCCTTGGGTGCATTGTATCATCTAGCACTTTCTAATTCGAAAAATTCATCTCTTGGGTATATTCCTTGAGTGTTTTTTGAGTTAGTCAGAACCTGAACGTCTTCTTATCTTCTTTTTGCTATTAAAGAAAAACTTACAAGTGCTTTTTTTATATTTCCAATTAGCATGTCTTCACAATTCAATACTAATTAATGATAAAAAATTAGTTAATTTAGTTTTGTGAATACATTCCAACGAGGCTATCTTTTGTCATATTAGACAGTTATCATTCCCATTATGACTTAAGCTGAATTTTCATGTGATAGTTGAAGGTATTCTTGAAAACTAGAAAGAAATATTTGTTACGAGGATTTACCACAAATGTGCAATAATATGTAATTGATTCAATTTGATGCGATCAAACAATTTATCTAGTAACTCCATAATTAATAACAAAACAAGAATTTTATGACATGATATATATGAAGTATAATCTGTATTGAGATAACATAACACATTTTTATAAAGCCACGATTCAAAATGGTAATTCCTACTTTCCACTAATGATTTGTTAC